CCTGCCAGGACCTTCCCAACCCTTCCCTGGACCCTCCTGGACTCTGCCAGGACCCTCCCCAGGACCCTGCCAGGACCTTCTCAATCCTCCCTGGACCCTCTTCAGGACCCTTCCCTGGACCCTCCTGGACCCTGCCAGGACCTTCCCAACTCCCTTGGACCCTGCCAGGACCATCCCAACCCTCCCTAGACCCTCCCCAGGACCCTCCTGGACCCTGCCAGGACCTTCCCAACTCCCTTGGACCCTGCCAGGACCATCCCAACCCTCCCTAGACCCTCCCCAGGACCCTCCTGGATCCTGCCAGGACCTTCTCAACCCCCTTGGACCCTTCCAGGACTCACCTAACCCTCTCCAGGACCCTCCCAACCTTCTCCAGGACCCACCCAACCCAACCAGATTCTACCCAGCCCCATCCTGCCCAAGCCCCAGTTGACCCTCCACACTCAACTTTACCTTCCAAGGTTTGGTCTGAAGCCTTCAAGATCTCCAGGACAACCTCCCTGAGCTCCTGGAGAGGCTACAGGGAGAAAAGAGCTGCTGAAACCATCCCAGCTCCACCCGTGGAGCCATGGACCCCCAGGAGAAGTGTCCACCAACCTGAGCTCCAGCACAGACAGCAGATTTGTACAGCCCTGTCACGTCAAAGGGACCTTCCCTGGCCTTCAGCTTGGCTTGGCAAATCCAGAACTTGGCAAACCTCTGGGCTTGGGGCACCAGGGCCAACACTGTCGAGAGCTCCTCAGCATGGACACCCTGCAGGGACATGGGGAAGGGCTTGGACAGCAGCACGAGGTCCCACCACAGGCACAGGAGCTCCAGGAGAAGGAGGAGGGAGAACCAAGGGTGATTGGAGGTGTCCAACATGGCCATGGGCTATTCTCCTGCCTCATCTTCCCCTTGGATTAATGAGTACAACTCCAGGGATGCAGTGATTGGAGCTACTCAAGCCATGTGAGATCCACCAGGGATGGACCTTGGGCTGGGACACCACCAGGGATGGAGCTGCTGGGATGCTCCAGGAGAAAAAGAAGCTCTCCAAGCAGCTCCATGCCCATTCCTCACCTTCTCAGTGAGCTCCAGGCACTCAGTTAAGATCGTGTTGATCCTGAGTACAACTCCAGGGATGCAGTGATTGGAGCTACTCAAGCCATGTGAGATCCACCAGGGATGGACCTTGGGCTGGGACACCACCAGGGATGGAGCTGCTGGGATGCTCCAGGAGAAAAAGAAGCTCTCCAAGCAGCTCCATGCCCATTCCTCACCTTCTCAGTGAGCTCCAGGCACTCAGTTAAGATCGTGTTGATCCTATCCTCTACCCTCTGTCCTGGCCCTTCCTGCTGGGTGGTTTCACCTCCTGCTTCTGCAGCAGAGTCATTGGAGGCCTCTTGTACTTCCTGCCCTTGGATGCCAACCACTCCTCCAGCTGCTTCCTGCAGGGACCAAGGGAGCACTGTGACCACCCACGGGACCTCCCTGGGCACCCACCTGAGATGTCCCTCAGGTGCCACTTACTTGCGATCTGTAGTTGTTGAGGTCTTGGGTACACGTCCCACCTGAACTCCACCTGCCTTTGGAGGCCCCTGCTGGTCTCTGTTGCTCCTCAAACCATCTCCAAGACCCTCAGCTCTGGAGCTTTGTGTGCTGGGAGGCACCTTGGAGGCCCCAACCCCATGGGATGGAGCTCTGTGGCCAGGTATCATCACCCTCGTGTCCTTCCTGGCCACCATGGAGCCACCTTGGCTCGGGTTGGACTTGAAACCTGTGGTCCCTTGGGGCCTGCTGGGACATCTCCTGCCTGGGGGAGGTTGGTTGTGGTGCTGAGGTGCCATGGGATGTGCCCCAGGGGCTCTGCCCAGGGGTTGGCTCACTGTGGTGGTTCTTCCCTGGTTTATCCTTGGGTTTTTGTGGAGCAGAGCAGGAGGACCAGGACGGACCTGTTGGGGCTGAGCTGGTTGAGCTCTGACATTGCTTTTTGAGGACAAACCCCTGCACTGACCCACACTTGGCTCCTTCTTGGCCTCGTTGACATGGTTTGTCCTTGGGTTCTTGTGGAGCAGAGAAGAAGGACCAGGAAGGACTTTTGAAGGTTGAGGTAGTTGAGTTCTGACATTGCTTTTTGGAAACAAAGCCCTGGATTGATCCACAATTGGCTCCTTCTTGGCCTGGTGGTTGTCCACCCTGTCCTTTGGCCCCACCACAGGTCTCACCATGCTGGTTGAGCTCTGCCTGTGATGACCCAACCTCTTCTCCCCAGGGTTGCTCCCACCAGGCTGGAGAGCTCTGCCTGGCCCAGAGCCTCGGGGCTGGAGGTTCTCCTTGTGGGACACCATGGAGAGAGGTGGCCTGAAGGTCCTGTGTGGCTGCAGGTGGGCAGAGTTGGAAGGTGGAAGCTTCATGGTCCCTGCTGCTCTCTGGGATGGGTTTGGAGGCTTCTGCAGAGCTTTGGCACCAGAACTGGCACCTCTGTGGGCAACCTCAACATCCTCCTTGGTCCTGCTCACCTTGGGGAACAAAGGAGCTCTCAGAGAACCTCAGGAGAGATCAGGGTGGGCATGGGGGACAGGGATGGGCCAGGAAGGGAAACAGGAAGGGACATCCCTCAGAACTCATCCAACACCT